GGTCTCTCTGAGCATTAGGATTCTGGATAGGGGATATCAATTTTAGCTGAAGCGAGAAAAAGGGAGTCAGCTAGACAGAGAACCAGGTAGCCTCTGACAAGTCTAGTCTAGAATGGGATTGATAGTTCTCTTGCCTTATTCCCAATTTGTGGAATCCTAAAGACATACAGCATCTTGTTAAGAACTCAAATCCAGTCTATATTAAATTGCTTATTATTCTTATATTAAAATGATTGGCCAGAGCAGCAAAGTGCCTGAGCATATTTTTGTGTGTAAGCAAATGAGATGGAAAGCAAAAGAGAATGTGTTTCCTTATCTTGCTAAGTTTATAATTATACTAATAGGAATAATAATGATTATGACCTAAAAACTCAAAAGACAAGTTAATGAGCACCATCTATCAGAACCTCTTTGTTCTGGTGAGGTTCTGTGTGACATCTTTTAAGGGGTAATGAGTTCATATGAATTCCAGTGAGAATGTAATTCTTTTTCCTGCTACCTGCCACACAATGGTAAGTTAGTATTTACCAGCCCTAGAAAATTCAAATGAACAGAGGAATAGGAATTTAGAAGATAAAAACAAATCTTCACTTCTAAAAACTTAAAAAGAGCCCTTAACTTGATGACTTGAAGGACACAATAGGTTTAAAAAGTTTTACAAATGTGTTAGGCTGCAAAATAAATGCAAAATTTCAATTGCTTCTTTTACCTAATCTACTTCTATAATAGTAGAAGTTTATGCCTGGTGGCTCTGCAATCTGTCAACCTGTATTCTCTGAAGTTCCCTTTTCTGTCTGTTTCTGATTGGGGTGGGCCACAAAAGAGATCCTTGTATGAAATTTTCATTAACTGAAGCAACAGTCATTTTGTACTCACATATGTAGTTTATCTACAGGCTTACCTCATTGGCACAAGGCAGCAGTCACACCTGAAATTGCTGCCTTTTCTGTTAAAAACTCCTTTCAGCAGTCTGACTCCTGAGTCAGATGTGTTTAACTATGTAAGGAAGGACTCTGGCTTCTGCAGGACATCTGTACCATCAAGGTCAGAGGCAACAAGAGCTAACTTTGGTTTTATATTGTCCTCGTCAACTATAGCTTTGCTTCTGCATTACAGCTTGTCATGAATCTCCTTCACTTTTCCTTCCTGACTCCCTGCCTTATGAACTTTAAGCTCCCACAGCAGATGTAAATATAACAGCTTTACAGAGACAGTTTAACCATCCTCCACAATTGTGTAGAATCAAATCTCTTTTAACAAATTCCTTTATAATATATCTCTATCTCCATTCTATGTCTCTGATTGGACCTTGATGGAGATCAGGACAGTGATAGTTACAAAATGAAAAGAGGTCTCTTGACATCCTCCCAACCCTGCCCCCAAAGACCACTGGCAGGAGCAGGTTGAGAAAACTATAGAAATGAAAACAGGGACTATCTTTTGTGGAAGAGGAAGGATGACTCAGAGGGCAGAACTGCAATCCATGAAGTTATTACAGGTGAATAAATAGAACTGTGTTCTAATCAAAGAATTTTCCACATTTTCCTCATTGTATTTCAGAACTGCTATGAACCAGTGATCTCTGTGTATTTCTTATTGTCTCCATGCGTTTTGAATAGGAATGTCTACAGTGTTTATCTTGTGATTGTCCCACCACTATATGTTACGTGGAGAGCAGGTAACTTGTCTTTTTTACTTGGTATGTCTTTAGAGTGAGAGAACTGTACTACAGGAGCTGTATTTAAGGAGTATTGTCCACATCTGGATTTGATTTAGATGATGGGATTTTGGACCTTGAGCTGATGCTTTGAGGTGAAGAGGCTTTGTGGGTGGCTTTGGGAGAGGATGGGTGTACTCTGCATGTGGCTGGGATGTGAATCATTGGAGACCAGATGCCTGACTATGCTAGCCAGCTTACAATATAGCCTCAGTGATTCTCATTTCCTGGTATTCACAGCTTTGTATAGTCCTTTCCCTCTATATACCAGGCTTGATCTGTGTGACCAAAAGAATATGGCAGCAGTAAAGTTATGCCACTTCTGAAATTAAGCCATATAAAGACATTGCTCTACCTGTTGGATCATGTGTTCTGGGGAAGCCAGTTGTCACATCAAGAGGACATGCAAGCAGCCCTGTGGAGAAGTCCATGTAATGAGGAACTGAGGCCTTTTGCCAACAGTCAAAGGGGAATGGAGAACTCTAGCCAACAGTCCTGTGGGTAAGCCTTCTTCAAGGCTGATCCTCTAGTTATGGTCGTCTTGAGATGAGATGCAACCTAATCTGTAGCTTAACTCATGAATGACTCTGAGCCAAAGCTATCCAGCTTTATTGCTCATGGATTCCTGACCAACAGAAATTGTGTGAGATACAAAGTGTTTGTTGTAAGCTAAGTTGTGTTATGCAGCAACAAATAACTAATACAATGCCTGAGTACAAATACAATTTTTCTTCCACTTGCCTATGAAAGCCAAACAAAAGGAAGACAAGAGAGGCAGAGAAAAGTAAATTTTTTTAGTTCAGTTTTTCTTCAATATTCATTTAGATTCTTTTAAACTAGGCTTGTGAGCAAATATTTATTCAGATAAGCTAAATTTGAAAAAAGTAAGGAAGATGGGATAGCTTTAGCTATATATATGTATCTTTTTGAACTGGAGAATCTACTTTTGAAAAGACAAATCATGAGATTTTCCCAAAGACTAGTCTCTTCTTTGCAGAATGGTAGGGAAGCTGCTACCTCTTTCAGGTTGAGATTTACAGTTTCATTTATTATCCTTTCGTAATATGACTAGTTTAAAGAATGTAAAGTATGATTTGATTTCCTTCCTAGTTTTGTTATGGAAACATTTGGAAACAAGAGAAATAACATTTCTTCTAGCCTCTCTTTATTTCTGTCTTAAAATCAATTTCAGTAATTTTAACAATAAACCATAAAAATGATGAGTATACAAAGCATTGCCCAAGTGAATCCATCATGAACCTGTGTCTGAGAATGTTTTCCTAAATAGGGGAAATGTGTTTCATACAAAAAGTCCATTTTCTGTTATTGCCTTTTTTATTTGTACTACTAGATGCTATATATTTTCAGGCAATTTTAATAGTTTCCTGTCTCTTACTAACAAGAATGACTTGACATAATCAGCAGTGTAGACACTGTCCATTTGATCCACTCTAATGAGCTGTCTATTTGATACAAGACTAAATCACCTCAATTCCTTTGTGGAATGAGTAGAGTATAAATAAATAAATGAGACACAAGAATAAAAAAAAATCTGGTCAGTTCTATCAGAAGGAAACAAAGGATAGGAACATTTGGAGGCCTGGTTTAATGAGAAATGTGACAAGACAAAGAGTTATATGTAATAACTGTAAAGAGAGGAAGAATCATCACTAACATAAAATGTCCATGAAATAATTTCTTCTTTCTTTATGAAGGAAGATAATTTTATAGTTTAAGAATAATTCTCAATTCTTCGTAGTTGGAAGTCTGTTGTTGTAAAATGACTCTTTATTCACTTTTACTTCTACCAAAAAGAACTCTAATCTTCAGAACTCTTCCTATAACTCATCACATAGCCTCAGTGATACTCATTTTTTTCTGAGTAGGAATTTCAGATTCCATTTTAGGGAGTGGGTTTGTTTGGGGGGGTGTCTTTTTTATTGTTATTTTGCCTGTTTTACTTCAATTGTAAAGTTTTTTGTCTTAGTTTTTGTTTTGAGAGGACTCCAAAATATTCTAATTTTTCCTTTTACAATTAGTGTTTGGTGTATCTTAGGGAATGAGACAAAAATGTTATTGCTTTTGACTATATAATGTTTTACTGAGTTTTTTTTTGTACGAAATATTAATGGAGTCATTATTCTATGTCAGGTTTAGTGTTTCCGGTGGGGATGAAAAATAAGTTATGACAAATTTTTTGCCCTACAGGAGCTGGAAAGAAGTAAATTGATTTTCAAAGTCAATTCTTAGTTTGTCTAGCATCTGAACCACTTAGCGGGCTTGTTTAAAATGCCAACCTAAACAGATGAGTTAGAAATTCTGGGAGTGGTATTTGAGAAAATGCGTTGCAATAGGTTCTCTCTGTAATTCTAATGCAGACTAATGTTTAAGGACCACTGATTTAGTAAGGGCTCTGGAGGAAAAAAACAATTTACCCTGCCAATGGAGCCATAATGCAATCTCTAAAATACAGTAGTAGTGTCTAGGAAAGAGCTTTGCCATGGGAGTGCCTATCTGAAGGAAATTCCCCCCCCCCCACACACACACTTTAAAAGTACCAGAACGTGGCTCTTTGGATTTTAGAGAAAAATCTTTAAGATTTACAGATTAAACGATAAGGTTGGTGTGAACATATTTTATAATTCTATTTTTTTCTAACGCTTATGGATGGGCACTGGTATCTATGTCTAGATAGCTTTCTATTTTGTGTGTGTGTGTGACCCAAAAGGATACTGACTAGAACTCCCCACTCCTCGTTCGTAGTGGGGGAAGTCACCCCAAGAAACCGTAGTGTTAGAAGAGTAAGAGCCAATCAAAGCTCTGTGGAGCGGCTTCAGGCTGGGTTCTCAGAGATTGGCGGAAGATGGGGCTGTTACCTTCATTCAATCAAACAAAGGCCGTAATAGTTTGGAGCGGTCGAAAATTCCTCGTGCGTTACCAGGAAAGGTGTTAAACCTCGGCGGGGGTGACCGCTGGCCATAAGATCCCTTGAGTGGAAAATCTGGGAGCACTACCAATACGTTACTTCCCGGGATCCTGGAGACATGGCCCGCAGTTGTGGTGGCACCAGTAACAAAAATGGCGTCAAAGCGCTTCAGGCGCCGGATCAGGTTGTGCAGTCCTAGTCCGCTCCCTTCCCACCAGACGCTCCTCCTCTCGCTCCTTGACGAGGAGATGGGCGTGGCCTGCCCGGAGGCTCCTTTCGGGAGCCCGGAAAACCGAAGGACACACATGCGCAGTTGGGCCCCTCAGGCCCTACGCCGGCCGCCTCCCGGCTGGTCGGCCCGCCCCGATCTGCCGGGCGGGGCTGGGCCGAGAGTCCAGCAGCTGCTCGCCGGGGTTTCAGAGACTTCCTCGTTGTGAGCCCAGGCCCGGCAGTGTCCGGACTCGTACCCCCGCTGTCCTTACCGGGACCTCTAGCCTGGGTCTAGGTCGCAGCTGCAACCCCAGCCCGTCGGTTCCACTCTCAGCACAGGTCCTTTCCCGCACGCCCCGCGCTCCCTAGCATGCCCAACCCCAGCAGCACCTCCTCTCCCTACCCCCTCCCTGAGGAAATTAGGAACCTGTTGGCAGGTAAAGAGCGGGAAGGGGGCTGGTAACGCGGCTGGGCGGGGGCGAGGGGACGGCGAGCCGGTGGGGACAGAAGCATTCAGTCTCTACCCTCCCTGCACTCTCCACGTCTCCTGGCCAGTAGGAGCGGAACTGGGAGTGGGGAAGAGTGAGAAAGGGAGTGGGCGTGTGTCTTGAAATTTGGTACGAGGTTGGTGGGGAGGCCCTTCCTGGTGGGCCACACTAACGGGATAAGGATAGTTGTTTGTATTGCGTGCGAGAGAGAAAAGGAGGAAGGGAGAAGAGATAGGAGGGCGGTGATGCGGGGAGGAGAGAGAATGATGCATGTGAGAGAGCTAGGAAAGGATCAGAAGTCAAAGATGCAGTTCTTTGGTAGCTTGGCCAATGGAGGAGGAGAAGGGTACAAAGATGTCTAAGCTACAGGTATTAAGGGTCAGGGGTTATAGGATGGAAGGGTGTGTCATTTCTAAAACTCCCATTTTTCTTGGACATTTATTTCACTCATATTTAAGTTTTCAAAGAGGGCTTGATTCTTAAATGGCCACTAGTCTTAAGCCAGAGTAACTAAAACAAAAAAGGAAGGATATGTTTAGTCCAACTTCCTGTGTCATATGATGAAAATACTTCATCTTTGCACCCAGATCTTCCCCTTTTCAATTTTAAATTACCACATATAGGAACTTGTTTTCGGAGTTAAAGATGGGCTCCTCAAGGTTGTTATGAATCCACTACTAGTTCAGTAATGTACTAAGTATGAAGATGTGTATTTTCACTGTCAAGGTAGAAAGTATATCTTTTTAGGGTAGCACAGACCTCACCTATCCTGATGCTCTGGAATTCTTACCATTATTCACTCTGTCATGAGTACATCAGAATTCTGGAAACTGAATTTTGATAATTTGATTTTAGTTGTCTCTTAAGTATTTATCTTTCAATATTGGTCATGAATAATGATAAAAAGAGCCTCTTTTAAATGCCCGTGTTACAACTTGTTTATTTTAACTCTTAAAAAGCAGTATCTAAAATGTAACTTTAAAGAGTAAGTTACTGTTACAGCAAATCTCTTAATACAGTTACACTACTTTGATAGTGAGCAACATGAATATGATAGAGAAAATAAAAGCAATAGGGTATGAATGCATACTTATGTTTATGTGAACATGATTAAAGTGTGATGAATGCATTTGTAGTGGGATAGTTTTACTATTTTTACTCAAAGAAATGCTTGTTTTCATTAATGGGTATCAATAAGGGGAATAAAGAACTGTAAAGATGACTTAAGGCAACTTATATTCCATTTTAGAGTTTCACATTGAGTACTGACTTTGTTTCACTATAGTTAGTGTCTGTACATTGTTAATGGTCCAGTGCTAAAATCACTTTAGACTATTTAGTAACCAGATCAGTACTCCATTACTCCAGAAATAGGTGTCCATTTTCAGGATATTCTAGTTCTGAATTTTTGAATTTAAGAAATAGAGACCTCTGGGTATATGCTTTTAAAGCTTGACAGTTGCACAGTAGACAGTTTGCTCTTTGGATCCATCTCATATATTTGCAGATGGTATGAGACCCCTTTTCTCTTATGCCCACAGATTACATGTATGTCATGTGGCCCTTATTTCTGTAATTTAACTGAAAGGTCAGACTTAAATAATATTTAAATTATCTTCCAGTGCTAACTTCCTTTATACTTTAGAGATCTCTCTTTATGCTGATAATATATTTGCATAATGTCTGAAATTATTTAAAAAGTCATTGACATTTTCAGTATTTCATATTAAGGCAAATAACATATTAAAACACATGACGTATTTAATAAATATTAAAACATGAAACATTTGGAGATTACAAATTTGTCTTAGACTTTATTTTCAGAGGGTTTTCAAGAGGTATGGATATGAGGAAATATGTATATTTTAAATAAATGAAACAAGTGAGTCTGTTTTTCAGTTTTTAACTTATTCAAAGAAAGTTGTTAACATTTTGTTTGACTGTAATTAAAATCTTTTTTGAGGTAGGAAAGGTTTCAGGAATAAATGTTCTCAGCAGTTTTTTTTTCACATTTTTCATCCAAAAAATTGTTAGGATTGTGTATGATGATTTTCATAATTCAAGATTGTTAGATTTAAAGTCATTAAAACTACCAGCAAGTGTTGGTATTCGTTTGCATTTTAGAGATTGCTGAAGAACCTAGTATTTTCTTTGAAACTAAGAAGGAGATATTGGTAGTGGCAGTTGTAGCTCACAGTTGACTATTCTTAGAATGCATGGCCCATGCTAGAATTGCAAGGTTGAGAGGATAAGGAACTAAACTTGTCAGGTCTTTAAAATCCCTTGCTTTCAGAGAAAAGACTACAAAGTCAAAAGATAATGCCTATCAAAAATGTTGCTTGGACATGCTTAGACATTTCCCTTTGTGTTCCATATGCCTATTATACAAATCATTATATGTTATACATGTTAAATGTTTGACATTTCAACTACTTGATAGAAGTAGGTGCTCAAGTGTAGTCTTACCAATTTATATTATTTTCTTTATTTTTCTTTCTGGTTGTAGCAGTTTTAGGCTTCCCTTTAAATATTTGTTACCCCTCTCCTCTTCATTTCTTCCCCTTAAAAAATTATATAAAAATGTAAAAACCCATAGAGGTTATCATTCTAACTCACATTTAATGAAACTCTTGAAAAAGTGGCTATGTAGTTTTGAATAGTAGTTTGTATTTCTGTGGAGTCAGTTTATTAAATCTGAAAACCTATACTTTTTATAAAAGTGCTGAATTACTCTGTTTCATGAAAAGAAAAAGATTTACACAGTTTTTTGTTGCTGTTAAAAGCAAGTTTCTAACTGCTGTTTAGGCACTACAGGGCAATCTTTAATTTTTTCCACAACAGTGGAAAGAATAGGTTTAGCCTGGATAATTAGAATCAAAGGATAATCCCAAATCTTGTCCATTTAATATTCTCCCACATCCAAATATTTTGACTAGGACTAACGGCAAGAATAACCTTGATTTATGTTTTTTTCCCAGGCAGGCAAGAAAGTGAGAGGGAATAGAACCATTGGCCCTCCCACCCATTTCATTTGTTTAATCGTCCTTTGAATACTGGAGTGCTAGTGGTTTGCAATCAGATATTCTCATTCATTTGTTTTAAACATTTATTTGTTTTAAAAAGGAAAGCTGTTGAGAAGATTTTAGTTTCTTTTTATTAAATTAGAAAATGAACCAATGTTAAAAGAAGACAGTAGTGGTTGACAGTACTCTGAAAAATCCAAACCAAACCAAATTAAACAAAGTAGCTACATGGTTTCTGCAAAGCGACTTTGAGATTTTGTTCACAGCACAGTCTTGATTAGAAATATTACCTTTTCCCTTATTGAGGATTTCCAGACATATTTTTTTTCTTTACCTTAACACATTATAATCAATAATCCCTTTAGGGGCACTATGTAAAGAATGCAAGCCAGCTGAAGTAGAGGCAGAAGTCTTTCAACCCTGAAACTAGTGCAGTTTGATTTCCACCTTTCCAAAGTTCCTTTATAATTTGGTCAACATTTTGGTTTTATTTTTCCTGTGAGAATCATTTGTGGTTTTCTAGTGTCCCATAACTTCTTTCTGGGGCACTGGCTGAGTATGTAATGGGAAGAGTGCCACCTACTGAGTCACCAATAGTCACCTACTTCTTTGGTACCTGGATTTTCCTACACAGCAAGAGAAAACCTGCCCTGTTTTGTCAGTAATAACTAATGAGCATCAAGTTGATATGAGATCTCAAAATGAGGTCAGTCTATGACACTTCTAAGGTTTTCTTTTCCAGAACAGGAATATGTGTTTTTAAGCCATGAGACCAGAAATTTATAGTTTCTTATTTGGGTCAAATAACATAGATGTATTAAGATGTGATGTTAGGAAGATTATTTGCTTTATCTTAAGCATATAATATCCTTTTTCTTGGGAGGGGATCTTTTGCTGGCTTGTTTTTCACATGACTTTTCTTTAAAAGTATTTTAATCTCAGATTACTAAATAAGGCTCTTGATAGTAGGCACAGTTTTTATGGTTAATCTAAATTATCACTCTTTTAAAAATGAATCTAAATATACTAAAAAATGGGAAGTATATAAAAAATTTCCAAGTGGGTTTATCTCTATATTATTATCAGCATGAATGTTTTACTAGAAGGAAGGTAGAAAACAACAGAGTAGGAAAAGCCTCTGGTGATTTGAAACACAGCTCAGTTGTTTCTCATAAATTTAAGATTAAGTGTCATATATGGGTGATAAAAGTGGCATAGGCTAGTTTTTATATACTCATTATTCACTTAGTTTGTTTTCAATTAAAGCCAAATCTGTCTTTTTCATTCCACTGAGTTTACATTTCTTTTTCAATCACATGTTGAACACATTATAATAGATGTTGCCTAACAGTGAATATAGTGTAAATCTCTCTTAGGCTGTGTTACTCACTGTAGCTTTTTGAAAATGTGTGGTAAAAAGATTTTGACTACTTTAAGGTATTATTTATCAAGAGTCATCTTTTAGAGATAAAAAATGTTCACCCCATACTTGAACAGTCCAAGTTTCCAAAGCCAATTTTGACAAATTTGTCAGATGACTGGGTTGTAAGCCTTGGGTATGGCTTACTCTTTGAACTCAGAGAACTCCTTGTGTTTGTTCATGTCTCTTATTCCATGTTTGAAAAGCCCACAGTTCAGCCATAACCTGTATAAATGCTAGGAAATCAAGAGAAAGACATTGATCAGAGCAATCAATACCTTTTCAATTAGCCATTTTTCAACTTTGGGCATTGTGCTCCATTGAGCTATTTGTGCCCAGTTTTAATTGATTTTTGTTTTCACCAGTAGGTGTTTGGTCAGAACATACCCCCTTTAGCAGAGAAGAAAAGCTTGTCTTTTTGTTCCAATGCCAGCTTAATGTTTGGCTGGGATCCTTACCACATTAAGTTGGGTCATAGCACCTCAGTGAATACAAAGTGAAACCTGGCCCAGTTCATAGAAAAAGATGTGGAATTAAGTAGTAAAGCCATTTGGGGTGTGGTGTGATTCATTTTACACTTGTTTTATTGATCTGGGGCTGAGCAAATGGTAGTGGATTCAGGACAATTCCTATCCCCCCTCCTATACAATTCAGGCCATCACAGAGGCTGTGTGTGTGTGTGTGTGTGTGTGTGCGCGCGCGCGCGTGCATTCCTCCTCAGGGAGGTGTAGAGTAGTTGGGGGACAAGGCAGAGGACAGCAGGTGTTACTTCATGGCTTGCTGACGACTTCCAGCTTGGAAGTTGGATTCCAGGGTGTTGGTGGAGGATGGTGCTTGGCAAGTGGTCAAACCTTGGCTTTCATCTAGTAAGAACCTGTGCTATGTCCTGAGTTTTGGAAAGCTGATAATTTTTATATCATTTGCAGGAATGTAAAACTGTTCTAACCTTATGAGGTTTCACCTTTTTGTGCGTGATCAATATGGAAGTTGATAAAAGTTAGCCTGCATGTGTGTGTGTGTGTGTGTGTGTGTGTAACATACCTGTCCTAGCCACTCAGGACTCTAGGGGAAGCTGGCAGGTTTTCTAGGGGGTTCGTATGTATAGAAAAAGAAAAAGGAAAATTGGGATACCATTCAGTCATGTAGTATGTGCTGTTTGCTTCTTAGAGGTTTGCTGGATATTGAGAGGTTTACAACTTAAGCTGCTTGAGGATTGTTAAACCAAGAAATGATGTCATCTTTTAATTTTGTTTTCAGACCTTAACATTTATCGGCAGAGTAATTGTATATCGGATCTTTTCAGTGACTCTCTCCCCCAGATCTTAACAGTTGTACGAGAGATAGGTTTACTCCAGACAGTGTTAAGGTGTAACAGGAGCAAAAACACCACATTTGCAGTCTTTGGGAACATTTTTTCTTCCGTGTTGACTTGGAGCAGAGGCTGTAAGTGAGGGGGCTAATTCTGGGGTTATGTGCTGGTGGCACTGACCTGGGAGTCTCCATGGCTGCGGGCGGGGCGGCGCTAGAGTTAGTCTGGACGCAGCGTTGGGGGCACCCCGAAGTGCGCTTTCTCCACGCGGCCGGTGCATCCCAGCGCTCCTGTCCTGTGTAGGGGAGATGGCGCGTGAGTGGAGACGCCTCCCTGAGGAAGAGGAATTCTAACTCACCAGGCCTGGAGGCGAGTGAGGAGCCAGGCTAACCTTTTCTTGTAAGCGAATTAACGCTGTTCCCCGATATACAGGCAGTCTGGAGTCGGTGAAAACTACATATTAACCACGGGGCACGACCCCAACTGGAAGTTAGAAAGGGCTAATGCGCTCGCTAGTTTAGCGTTTGCAGGGCTACTTAGAGCACAACGAAAAGCTGCAGATAACTTTTCCATCCAGCCAGAGGAGCGCTTGATTCGCCCAGGACTCTTATGCTTGATTTTGAAATACTACCCTGGCTCTGAGCTACAAAGCCGCAGATCCAGTCCCATTTGTCTGGCGAGGGCGCTGCCCCGCACCCAGTGCGCCCTGCTCACAGCCCCGATGAAGGCAGCCGTGGGGTTGAACACGCCGAGTATCCAGTGTTGCAGACTACAGAGCTGTAGCATCTCCCAGTAGAGCCCGAATAACTTCAGCACTCCCTGTGTCTTTGCGCTGGAGGAACAGGGTCCATGCTGTACCCAGGGACCTAGCCGAAGGCCGCTGGCACGTCCCCAGGGTCTTCTGTGCCTGGGAGAGGCTGGCTTCGTTTCACTGGAAAATAAATGGGCACAGTGCGGATTTTAAGAAATACCCCAGATTTCAGGCACTTAATAAATTGAGTCCGTGGGCTCCAACCAAGGTTGTTATAGCAGAAAGCACTAACACTTTAAAGTTCTTACATTTGTTAAAAAAGAATCAGTAACTATTCTTTCCACTTCTCCTTTGAGAGAGAGTCTTTAAAAAATAAGTGTTTATTACATCTTTTGAGTTGCCTTAAATCCGTTTTCTGGAAAGTTTAGAAATCAGTACATTAAGACTACTCTAAAAATATAGATCTTTTCTCTTGCCCAATATGTCTCTCTTCCCCCTCAAAAAACAAACGTATTTTTGCTGCAGTCTCACATGCTTTCAATAAGTATTTCCTAATAAAATAGCATAGATCAGAATTAAAAAGAAATTGGGAGTATTAAGAAACAGCACTGTGAGTTTTATGTTTTCTGAGTTTTTATGGAACTGTTATGACCTTTTAAAGAAATAACTCCTAGGCTATAATCATTCTGTTATTGCTTGCGAAGATAGAAATAGATGCCGATTGTTTAAACTTGGATTGTGTAATGAAAATGTAAACTAGGCAATTAAATACTTGTGGATGAGGGAATTAAAGACAAAACACTGAGTGAAAGTAGCATTAAACAGACTATTCACCAGTCGTTGTACTAGGGATTCTCCTAAGTATTGAGTTGGATTGGAAGAAAGAATCAGCAGTAGAGATGCTACTCTTTCTCTATTCCACTTTCTAGTAGATTTATTATAACCATCCCCAAGAAGCCAATGAGAGTTTCCATTTCAGCTAATATCTGTGTATCCAAAGGTTGTGTGCTCTTCTGGGTACAAAGTTTAAAGAATTTAGGTGAGAGTGTTTTTTTTTTTTTTTACAATTTTCATCGCTTTAGAAGTTTGGGTCTAATTTGTACTGGTGCTGGGTGGTCTCTATATCCCCTTCTTCAAAATATGGACAGCTCAAGGAAAAAGAAACTGTGACATTTTACTTTCATTTCGTTTTAATACTTACTTTTAACATTAGTCATTAATGGACTTCAAATAAAAAAGCTATTGAAAAATCATTCTGAGATTAAATTTTAATTCTTTCACGTGTCAAATAGTTTAGTGAAAAATTACCTTTATACAAATTTATTATGAATGTATAGAATAAGAGGTTAATCAACTTTGCTCATTGGATAAAGATACTTTTGTAATCAAGTCTGTAAAATTGATTACAACATTCTATCTCAAGTACTAGGTTATAAATTGTTAATTACAAGTACAGTTGAAAGCCTTTATTATACCGTTTTGAATTAACTATAAGCAATATTATTGTATGTTTTGATATCTTTTTATTAGTATGAGTTAGGAGATAAAATAGTTAAATAAAATAAACTAAAACATCTCTTAATAGGAATTATGGTCTACAGTAATTCCTACCTTAACATTTTTTAATGGTGTCCATTGTATTAAATATCTCAAAGTGAGATTTGAAATTCTGAATATAAAAGTAATTTAAAATTGTACAATGTTTTATGAACAATATGAATGGTGCTGTTATAAAATCAAACCAGCAAGGATTTATGGGAATTTTATAGTAGAGAGAACTAGAAAGCAGAATAATTTCAAAGTTTACTAAATTTTAAAAAAAGAGGCTATGTGAGAATGTTATATGAGGCCATAGAAATCTCTTGGTTACTCTATTTTTAATTAGTAGATGAATCTATTTTTGCCATTTCTTCCTTTATTTAAAGAAACGTTTCCAGATGGTAATACCAAGCAGGAAACAAGAGCACACAAAACTACGTAACTCATTGTCTTTCTTAAGGGTGGCTGGCCAGAGTGGGTGGAGCAGGTAGGAAGGAGGAGTGTTTGATTTGAGAATCTGGGCTAGAAAAAGGGATTTTTTTCCCCCTTTAAACCATCTGACATTTCATATACCCGAAAATGGTTTACACTGGGAAAAAACAGGCCTTTGCAAGAGACATTAGCTTATATTGGTTTAATACTGTGAATGCTCTGTTCATACAGGAACTTACAAAATACTATAAAATGATAGTAACACATGCATCAAAGCTCTGTGCTTGCTCTTTATATGAGAGAATTTGTTTTATGGGGCACCATAGTTTATTAAAACTTGTGTGCTTCTTCCTGGTCTAATGATGCCAAACATCCAAATAGCATTTGCTGTACTAAGCATAAGTAGAGCATACAAATTTTATTAGCTAAGTGATGAACAGATTTGTCCAACTTAAATTGAAACATACCTAAAATGTTCTGCTCTGGACTGATAAATGTTAATATCTGTACAATCTGTTACAGTTATTTATGGGTAGAAACAATCATTGTCCCATTTGTCATCACAAAAAAAATGATTCTTCCCTATAATTTGTATCCTGTTTCTTATATTTCATGGTTTAGATGTTGAAACATTTGTAGCAGACATACTGAGAGGGGAAAATTTATCGAAGAAAGCAAAGGAAAAGAGAGAATCCCTTATTAAGAAGATAAAAGATGTAAAGTCTATGTAAGTCACTGATTTGCTTTTTATTATGAATTTTTACTTAAAAGCAACTTTGTAATTAACATTTTAATAAAGAATTATCGTCATATTAAATATTTTGTTTAATTGGTGTTAAATATTTTTAAATGATAAAATATATTTCCTCTATAATAGTTTTAGAAAACAAATATGCTTATCATAATACCCTTTTTTGTGAAGGTTCTTGATTGTATATATTTTTTTCTGAGCAGTGTAGCAAAATCCAACTGTTTACTTTGATAATTTGAGCATATATTTGGTTTAAATAATAAGACATAGCAGGGCAGAATTTTAATCTAAGTATGGAAAATATCTCCAGATACTGAAATGAATAAAGGTAACATAAATTGTAGGTATTAAACATGTATCCTGATTTTACTACCGTAATTTAGGTCTTTAAAAATACTTTTATTGTAAATCCATAAGCCTTTTGGAATTGTCATTTCAGGATAGGAATTTCAGCCATAACCTGTATAAATGCTAGGAAATCAAGAGAAAGACATTGATCAGAGCAATCAATACCTTTTCAATTAGCCATTTTTCAACTTTGGGCATTGTGCTCCATTGAGCTATTTGTGCCCAGTTTTAATTGATTTTTGTTTTCACCAGTAGGTGTTTGGTCAGAACATACCCCCTTTAGCAGAGAAGAAAAGCTTGTCTTTTTGTTCCAATGCCAGCTTAATGTTTGGCTGGGATCCTTACCACATTAAGTTGGGTCATAGCACCTCAGTGAATACAAAGTGAAACCTGGCCCAGTTCATAGAAAAAGATGTGGAATTAAGTAGTAAAGCCATTTGGGGTGTGGTGTGATTCATTTTACACTTGTTTTATTGATCTGGGGCTGAGCAAATGGTAGTGGATTCAGGACAATTCCTATCCCCCCTCCTATACAATTCAGGCCATCACAGAGGCTGTGTGTGTGTGTGTGTGTGTGTGTGCGCGCGCGCGCGTGCATTCCTCCTCAGGGAGGTGTAGAGTAGTTGGGGGACAAGGCAGAGGACAGCAGGTGTTACTTCATGGCTTGCTGACGACTTCCAGCTTGGAAGTTGGATTCCAGGGTGTTGGTGGAGGATGGTGCTTGGCAAGTGGTCAAACCTTGGCTTTCATCTAGTAAGAACCTGTGCTATGTCCTGAGTTTTGGAAAGCTGATAATTTTTATATCATTTGCAGGAATGTAAAACTGTTCTAACCTTATGAGGTTTCACCTTTTTGTGCGTGATCAATATGGAAGTTGATAAAAGTTAGCCTGCATGTGTGTGTGTGTGTGTGTGTGTGTGTAACATACCTGTCCTAGCCACTCAGGACTCTAGGGGAAGCTGGCAGGTTTTCTAGGGGGTTCGTATGTATAGAAAAAGAAAAAGGAAAATTGGGATACCATTCAGTCATGTAGTATGTGCTGTTTGCTTCTTAGAGGTTTGCTGGATATTGAGAGGTTTACAACTTAAGCTGCTTGAGGATTGTTAAACCAAGAAATGATGTCATCTTTTAATTTTGTTTTCAGACCTTAACATTTATCGGCAGAGTAATTGTATATCGGATCTTTTCAGTGACTCTCTCCCCCAGATCTTAACAGTTGTACGAGAGATAGGTTTACTCCAGACAGTGTTAAGGTGTAACAGGAGCAAAAACACCACATTTGCAGTCTTTGGGAACATTTTTTCTTCCGTGTTGACTTGGAGCAGAGGCTGTAAGTGAGGGGGCTAATTCTGGGGTTATGTGCTGGTGGCACTGACCTGGGAGTCTCCATGGCTGCGGGCGGGGCGGCGCTAGAGTTAGTCTGGACGCAGCGTTGGGGGCACCCCGAAGTGCGCTTTCTCCACGCGGCCGGTGCATCCCAGCGCTCCTGTCCTGTGTAGGGGAGATGGCGCGTGAGTGGAGACGCCTCCCTGAGGAAGAGGAATTCTAACTCACCAGGCCTGGAGGCGAGTGAGGAGCCAGGCTAACCTTTTCTTGTAAGCGAATTAACGCTGTTCCCCGATATACAGGCAGTCTGGAGTCGGTGAAAACTACATATTAACCACGGGGCACGACCCCAACTGGAAGTTAGAAAGGGCTAATGCGCTCGCTAGTTTAGCGTTTGCAGGGCTACTTAGAGCACAACGAAAAGCTGCAGATAACTTTTCCATCCAGCCAGAGGAGCGCTTGATTCGCCCAGGACTCTTATGCTTGATTTTGAAATACTACCCTGGCTCTGAGCTACAAAGCCGCAGATCCAGTCCCATTTGTCTGGCGAGGGCGCTGCCCCGCACCCAGTGCGCCCTGCTCACAGCCCCGATGAAGGCAGCCGTGGGGTTGAACACGCCGAGTATCCAGTGTTGCAGACTACAGAGCTGTAGCATCTCCCAGTAGAGCCCGAATAACTTCAGCACTCCCTGTGTCTTTGCGCTGGAGGAACAGGGTCCATGCTGTACCCAGGGACCTAGCCGAAGGCCGCTGGCACGTCCCCAGGGTCTTCTGTGCCTGGGAGAGGCTGGCTTCGTTTCACTGGAAAATAAATGGGCACAGTGCGGATTTTAAGAAATACCCCAGATTTCAGGCACTTAATAAATTGAGTCCGTGGGCTCCAACCAAGGTTGTTATAGCAGAAAGCACTAACACTTTAAAGTTCTTACATTTGTTAAAAAAGAATCAGTAACTATTCTTTCCACTTCTCCTTTGAGAGAGAGTCTTTAAAAAATAAGTGTTTATTACATCTTTTGAGTTGCCTTAAATCCGTTTTCTGGAAAGTTTAGAAATCAGTACATTAAGACTACTCTAAAAATATAGATCTTTTCTCTTGCCCAATATGTCTCTCTTCCCCCTCAAAAAACAAACGTATTTTTGCTGCAGTCTCACATGCTTTCAATAAGTATTTCCTAATAAAATAGCATAGATCAGAATTAAAAAGAAATTGGGAGTATTAAGAAACAGCACTGTGAGTTTTATGTTTTCTGAGTTTTTATGGAACTGTTATGACCTTTTAAAGAAATAACTCCTAGGCTATAATCATTCTGTTATTGCTTGCGAAGATAGAAATAGATGCCGATTGTTTAAACTTGGATTGTGTAATGAAAATGTAAACTAGGCAATTAAATACTTGTGGATGAGGGAATTAAAGACAAAACACTGAGTGAAAGTAGCATTAAACAGACTATTCACCAGTCGTTGTACTAGGGATTCTCCTAAGTATTGAGTTGGATTGGAAGAAAGAATCAGCAGTAGAGATGCTACTCTTTCTCTATTCCACTTTCTAGTAGATTTATTATAACCATCCCCAAGAAGCCAATGAGAGTTTCCATTTCAGCTAATATCTGTGTATCCAAAGGTTGTGTGCTCTTCTGGGTACAAAGTTTAAAGAATTTAGGTGAGAGTGTTTTTTTTTTTTTTTTACAATTTTCATCGCTTTAGAAGTTTGGGTCTAATTTGTACTGGTGCTGGGTGGTCTCTATATCCCCTTCTTCAAAATATGGACAGCTCAAGGAAAAAGAAACTGTGACATTTTACTTTCATTTCGTTTTAATACTTACTTTTAACATTAGTCATTAATGGACTTCAAATAAAAAAGCTATTGAAAAATCATTCTGAGATTAAATTTTAATTCTTTCACGTGTCAAATAGTTTAGTGAAAAATTACCTTTATACAAATTTATTATGAATGTATAGAATAAGAGGTTAATCAACTTTGCTCATTGGATAAAGATACTTTTGTAATCAAGTCTGTAAAATTGATTACAACATTCTATCTCAAGTACTAGGTTATAAATTGTTAATTACAAGTACAGTTGAAAGCCTTTATTATACCGTTTTGAATTAACTATAAGCAATATTATTGTATGTTTTGATATCTTTTTATTAGTATGAGTTAGGAGATAAAATAGTTAAATAAAATAAACTAAAACATCTCTTAATAGGAATTATGGTCTACAGTAATTCCTACCTTAACATTTTTTAATGGTGTCCATTGTATTAAATATCTCAAAGTGAGATTTGAAATTCTGAATATAAAAGTAATTTAAAATTGTACAATGTTTTATGAACAATATGAATGGTGCTGTTATAAAATCAAACCAGCAAGGATTTATGGGAATTTTATAGTAGAGAGAACTAGAAAGCAGAATAATTTCAAAGTTTACTAAATTTTAAAAAAAGAGGCTATGTGAGAATGTTATATGAGGCCATAGAAATCTCTTGGTTACTCTATTTTTAATTAGTAGATGAATCTATTTTTGCCATTTCTTCCTTTATTTAAAGAAACGTTTCCAGATGGTAATACCAAGCAGGAAACAAGAGCACACAAAACTACGTAACTCATTGTCTTTCTTAAGGGTGGCTGGCCAGAGTGGGTGGAGCAGGTAGGAAGGAGGAGTGTTTGATTTGAGAATCTGGGCTAGAAAAAGGGATTTTTTTCCCCCTTTAAACCATCTGACATTTCATATACCCGAAAATGGTTTACACTGGGAAAAAACAGGCCTTTGCAAGAGACATTAGCTTATATTGGTTTAATACTGTGAATGCTCTGTTCATACAGGAACTTACAAAATACTATAAAATGATAGTAACACATGCATCAAAGCTCTGTGCTTGCTCTTTATATGAGAGAATTTGTTTTATGGGGCACCATAGTTTATTAAAACTTGTGTGCTTCTTCCTGGTCTAATGATGCCAAACATCCAAATAGCATTTGCTGTACTAAGCATAAGTAGAGCATACAAATTTTATTAGCTAAGTGATGAACAGATTTGTCCAACTTAAATTGAAACATACCTAAAATGTTCTGCTCTGGACTGATAAATGTTAATATCTGTACAATCTGTTACAGTTATTTATGGGTAGAAACAATCATTGTCCCATTTGTCATCACAAAAAAAATGATTCTTCCCTATAATTTGTATCCTGTTTCTTATATTTCATGGTTTAGATGTTGAAACATTTGTAGCAGACATACTGAGAGGGGAAAATTTATCGAAGAAAGCAAAGGAAAAGAGAGAATCCCTTATTAAGAAGATAAAAGATGTAAAGTCTATGTAAGTCACTGATTTGCTTTTTATTATGAATTTTTACTTAAAAGCAACTTTGTAATTAACATTTTAATAAAGAATTATCGTCATATTAAATATTTTGTTTAATTGGTGTTAAATATTTTTAAATGATAAAATATATTTCCTCTATAATAGTTTTAGAAAACAAATATGCTTATCATAATACCCTTTTTTGTGAAGGTTCTTGATTGTATATATTTTTTTCTGAGCAGTGTAGCAAAATCCAACTGTTTACTTTGATAATTTGAGCATATATTTGGTTTAAATAATAAGACATAGCAGGGCAGAATTTTAATCTAAGTATGGAAAATATCTCCAGATACTGAAATGAATAAAGGTAACATAAATTGTAGGTATTAAACATGTATCCTGATTTTACTACCGTAATTTAGGTCTTTAAAAATACTTTTATTGTAAATCCATAAGCCTTTTGGAATTGTCATTTCAGGATAGGAAGTAGTTTTTCCTCTTACTGAATATTTATAAAATAGCTTTTAAAATATATTTGAATTATTGCCACTTATTAGAACTTGTTTGGATTTGTCAACCCTCATTTAAAAATATAATGCTTTTGCTTTATATTGCAGCTATCTTCAGGAATTTCAGGATAAAGGTAAATTTTCAAGTTGGTCAAACTTGAAATTTTTATTTTCTTGTGGAGATTTTCAATAGGATAATCTAACACATAATAAAATTTGATAGTTGGAATCAGAACTCAAATTCTACACTGTTATATTTAGACTTTCAGGGTGAGAGTGCTAGCTCCCCCTACTGAGAAAAAAATTAAAAAGCATATCCAGAAACTACTTTGCAGTCTTCTGATGCAGAAACCTTTTTGCAGTTCACATTCTTTAGGTTTTATTTTCCTTAGAGTACATTATGGCAGAAATTTGTTAAGAATTTTGCTGATACATGTGGAGTAATTCGCTGAAGCACATGTAAAATAACTCAACACCATTTAACACTGCAGAGATTATTTTCTAGTAGTGATGGGAACAGTAGGGCCAGTGGCTGGGTGCTTATAGGTAATTTCTAAAGAATAATTATCTCAAAAACAGTATCCATTTTTTGTTTGAGAACATGACTAAAATCTTTTTCAAACACTGGTTTTTATTATCCTTGTGGTTATTTTGATATGAATAAATGGATGCCATATAAATTTTTCAAGAAGGAAATTCAGCTTAGTTTTTTCTGAAAAACATGAGTGCTGGAAACCTGGTCATCTTCCTTTAGACTTGAGAGACAGCTGCTTAGTGTAGTGAAAACAAAAGCAGACAGGCTTAGGAAATTCCTACCCGTTTCATGTCTTCAGTGATGTAAGGGATACTGCGTATGGCCCTTACTTCCATGATGCTAATTCACAGGTCATGACCTAAAGCCTCTGGATGCTAGTATGAGGGTCATTTAACTTATATGGAGCTGGGATCTTGGTTTGGGGAAAAACGGTATGATATCTTCTAACTGGGGTTAGCAGATACCACACAGTAATTCATATCTCTTGGTGAACTGATAAGTGAGAGAGTAATGACATTTTCAATAAACCAAGTACTTAACCAGCAAACCTAAAATCAAACAGTTAATATCATGCAGTTTCTTTTCCCATTAAGTAATCAAGATTGTTGTGATTGGAGGAAATGAGAAGGGATTTTTCTCCATATTAAGTTTTTTAACACTATTAAATAAAGAGCAGAACAGGAAACTCCTTCTCCTCCAAACACCCACTTCTTTGTACTCTATAATCAATCCTAAACTATGGGGCTAATCATCTTGCATTTTGCTTAGTTGAATATAGAAATAACAAATTTATGCATTTTTATTATGATGGCTTTTATACATTGCACTGTTTATTGAGGAATATTAGATATTAGATTCAGCCCCTTTTAAAAGACATGTTTTGTTTTAGTGATTATTGATTGAAGTCTCTTTGTGACATAATTATTTGTACATTAAAAAATTTTAAGCTAAGATGGCATGATGATATGAAATCATTGTATAATTGCATACGATTCAGTAATAGGGTAGGAACTTTTCCTTTGGTATTCTGATTTAGGATGTGTTTAGATGTGTGGATATTAAAATTTAAATTGCTGTGATACATTCTGTGATATCAATTTGATAGAAATTGAAAAATGAGCCCAGAATAAGAGTTCAAATAACACAAAATTCAGAGATTCCCCATAATCATTTTCCTCTGAACAAGTCCTTTGTAGTTCAATACTGCTGTAGAGTTAACTAAATACCCAAGAGTGCCTGCTCAAAAGTAGGCCTGTGGATAAATCAGATGTACACATTAGAGAAATGTGGGAAGCTAAATAATTTTATGCATTGTACCCTCAAAGTATATTAGCTTTGTTCTAAGAAGAGTATTCCTGTAGTTTGCTAGGAATTCCAAAGGCAAGTTAGTACAGACTTAATCCTTGCAGAGTAATTATTCAAGATAAAATCCTTTTTTAAAAATGGGAATTTGTTAATTATCAGATCTCTAGATTGAGTAAATTCATTCATTAAGTATGTTTTGATAGTGCTGCCTTTCTTTTTTTCTTTAATTTTCCCCATGGGGTTTTGGATTGTCTTCATTCAAGGAGACCTGGGCAGAATTCCTTTTGGGTATTTTCCTGTTTTTTCTCTCTCTCTCTCTTAGGTCAATATGGGGTCACAGCTAAGCGAACAGAGGCTGTTTTCCTCCTTTTTACCTTTATACTCCTATTTGTTTCACCTACTTTATTTTATATGGCAGTTAAGTACCATTTTAATATCATTGTTGGGGGGAAAGGACCAGGTAGAATGTTCTTAAAATGAATTAATTCAGATTTGTTCATTTCTAATAAGCGAGTTACTAGTTTCTCTAATGTACACAGATGTCTGTCATCCTTTCTTACTTCCCTCCCACATCTGTCTCCTCTTCTTACACTGTAGATTCAACCCTTCCATCCTGAGATTTAATATTACAGGATTTGCAGTTCAAAGTATTATGATTCTTAAAATTACTGAATTGATAAAATTGTTGAAATACTAAGCTGCATAGATCTTAGAAGATTTAAGTTTTGTTTTTCTGTTTTTGGTGAGATAGTTTGTATTGGTAAAAGTTTGTTTTATTATAGTGGCTCTTAGATACTACAGCTTGTCCATTAAGTTAATTTTTTACTTGCTATTTATATTCATTTCCATAGCAAGCTGTTGTCTTAAAACTTCTCTTATTATTTCTTTCATTTATTAAGATCCTCATTTTATCTCTTCATATACTGAAATCTAGATTCTCCATTAAGGAGGTCTGGCAAATTGTGACTTTAGAATGCATTATCTGTTGGTTTTCTAAAGTCCTTAATTTTACTTGTACATAGGAACGATTGAATCTAAGCAACTAGACCTATCTTGCTTAGTCTAGTCCCTGTTCATTTGAAATAATCAAGTCTATCAGGTATAGAGAGTTCTTTCTTATATTTTTCAAATATTGTATATGACAGAATAACTAACCTAGCCTCCTTGTCTTAGTTGCAATATAGCCTACTGATATAAAGTATACTCCTGAATATAGGCTTCATGAACTAGAATTATGTTCATTTTAGAATTATTTTAGAATAAAATTATGATTATTTTAGAATTTGTTCTTTGCCACATAACGAGATCATAGGTCTCTTAAATGTGACTTGAAATAATTACTTTTTAATGAGATGTATTACTGATTGGACTGTTACTTATTGAGTATAAGATAAATTTTTCTAATATATATTAAGTACTGTTCATGATAAAGTTTTACTTATAGTTGTATCTTGCCCTTAAACTAGTCTTCTTTTATTCCAGTAATGATTTAGGTATGATTATTTTCTTTGTAGAATGATTAAGATAATCTGAAGATACTTATGAGTGACACATAGTAGGTGTTCAGTACATGTTTTATTAATGTGTGCTATCAGTTCAGCTTCATTTATCAAGAGGATTTAAGTAAATCTTGATTTATAATTGTTTCCAAATATTTTCTGAGGAAATTATAAGTTGGTAATGAAAGGGCATACATATTAACATGAGACAAATATTTCTAGAGAGTGTTTTTCAAATTGTAAAATACTAGTGTCTACAACTTTAAAAAATGTGAATCTATTGCTTTCAATTCCCTTTAGATGCCATGGCTGAAAAGCTCCTACTTTCTCTTTAAAAATATTTTCCTCTAATTAAAAAAAATTTGTGTACTTGAAACCAATATAAGATTGTATATCAATGATACTTCAATAACAAAAAAGAATAAAGAAAAAATTTAAAAACTTAAAAAAATTATTTAATAGATTTTGTCCCTAAGACTCCATGGATATTATTGACTATACATGAATTTACTTAGAAAGCAATTTCCTTTGACCTGGTTTGTATTATTGCTTATTAGTGGACTAAACTACTTTTTAAAATAAAAAATACCGTTAGGTAAGAAGGGACCCAAATTAGTTTGCTCTGATGGGATCTTTAAAGACAGCACCAAAATAGTAAGTTTGGATGACATTTAATTTTTTTTCCTTTACCTGTTGTAACATATTGTATGTTCTGTTGAAAGTTAGCTCCCCATTGACATCTGAGCAAATAACTTGCAGCTCCTCCTCTGTCCCCCATCTCTGGCCTTGTACAAATGTGTTAAGCATGTCTGAGATTATGGGGCCTCATAGTAGTAAGAGCCTATTTCAGAGGTAGTGCTTAAGAAATGGTATCCTTATTTTAAAGCTCTGCCTCATTTGCATGCTATAAATAAGCCTTCCTTTTGTAGAAGAGTATGAAGAGAATATTATTTGTGGTGACCTAAATCTTTCAAAGTTTTGAGAATTAACTTACAGGTTCCCTTAGGAAATGACAAGTTAAATGCTTAATTCTGTTAGTTTAGCTGTATATTATTAACAGAGAAATTGGTTTGGACAAGTGAACTGAGTAGAGAATTAGAAATTAATTTGTTTCACTCAGGTAATTCCCTCCGCCCCCTCCAAGTTTCTCTTTCATGCTTTATAAGAGGGAATGGTTATCATCTAAGTTTTAGGTATATTATTCAGTTTAATGCTTACCTGATTGTGTTTAAAGTAGGACTGTATTTGACAAAACAAGCAGTAAATTGGTTAAATCACTTTCAATGGTGGAAGAGATCATGAGTATTCAGTTGCTGTTGGGCTCCATCTCCAGGCATTTACGACAATGTTAATTGGTGATTATAAAAGAAAGGGATAATAGTGATTTGAACCCAACTGCCATAAATTTAAAAATGTTTTTCAGAGAAATATGCTGCTGTGGTAAGATTAAGCTTTGATTTTGCTGTGATATTTAAGTTGCCACTGAAATGATAGGAAAGGAAATCTTGGCTCATTGTCTGTTAGACTATTAACTTTGTATCATTAATTAAACTTTTGAAAGTTGTGGAATAAATCAAATGGTTTTCTAGGGAAACAAGAAACAGTATTAATGAGCAACAACCCCTTAATTATCCTTGTGAGTACATAACAGGGACACATTTATGTCTTTTCTTTGCACAATAACTTTTACAAAGAAGTATTTTTAAACTGATCATTAATTTTATGACTACAGAAATGAGATGCAAAATTTATGCTGTTGTCATTGGCACAGGCTCAAGGCACCACTGACATTATGTGTGATTGTAATAGAATGGCTGCCAGCTAATGATTCTGTAGACATTTCATTTGAGCATGCTTTTATTTTAGATGTCTGATTAGGCTGTAATGCTTTCAATTATGTCTGTAAATTGTATTGGATACGTTTACCTGATGCCCATTGTGGCTTTGGAGTTCAGTTTTCTATTACATAAGCACAAGTTGAACATTTACCTTTTAATTTATAGAAGTCTTTGCAGGTATAACTGCAAAATAGCCTCTGGGGGGAAAAATCCTTTGTACTACTCAACAGCGACCCCTGTGGTCATTTAATGCTCCTTATAGCACAGCAGCTTTATTGAATTGGGGAAAAAAATAGGGAAGGGGAAAAGGGTTGGATCATCACTGCAACAGCAGTAAATAGAAGAAGACCATTTTGAAAAATAATGTGTCCTTTAAACTTAATGCAGGTTAAAAAGGGAATAACCCTGTACAGATACCACAGAGATTCTTATTTTTCACTTTCTGAGTTAATTTGAAGAAAGCTTAGAAAGGAGGGGAGGGAAGAAATCAAGTCACTTAGCAGTATTGAATTTATTTTATCTTAGATAAATATAAATATTGCACTAGTTAAAAAAGCATTTGAAATAAGCTGCTGTTCCTAGAATGGGAAATTGACAATTTTACTTTAATATATAATCCAAAATGGTTTAAAAAAACCCCACAGGATCTAACTCATCAGTGACCAATCTGTGTAGAATATTAATTCATATTTAAATAGTACTGAGTTTATAGCTTTACTACTGATTTCTTTGCTGTGTGCTTATAAATATATATATGTATAAATAATAATTGGTGTGTGCATGTATGTATGTATGTGTATATATATACATACAAATATAGAATGAATATTATCAAAGGATAGCAAACTAATAGTTACTTTCAAAACTTACTAAGTTTTAATTTTTTCTGTTTATTCCCACAGAGTTTAATAGACTTAGGCCTGAATATCTGATGAATTTTTTTCAAATTCTTTCCATATATTCATTGGTTTTATTGTTGTATTTTAATATTCAGAAGAGTGTAAAATAGAAAGTGCTACATTATGGTAACATATTTGAAGTATCCTAATACTTTTTTTCACAGAGGATTTTTATTTATTTATAGTTCGTGTTGTGAAATATCCTTAGAAAATTCATACCACAAAAATTCTTACTTTAGTAAGAATTTAAGGATACTCTAAGTAACTAAAGCAATTGAGAATTTTGTAATTTTTACTACTATATATTCCATGAGCTGTCATTCCATGTTCAAACATATTTTTTCTAGTGCTTTAGATGGTTCTCTCTTACATATTTGAAAGCAGAGCACTCTTCTTTCCTAAAAGGAAACATTGTAAAGAATCACAGAGTGCTCTGAAAAGTACTTTGAATATCTCAAAAGAAAAAAATGAGATCTGAAGACTGAGTGGTATTTCTATGCGTTCCTTGGGATTTTAATTGGGGAATAAACATCAGCATGTATGGTGCACCTAGTGGTAGGATCACCAAGAACGATGATAGTCACCTCTGTATTTTGCTCTGGTTGTCTTGATAGGAGATATCCCTACTTTTGCTTTCAGAATAAGGATGATGAATGCTTGTAAAGTATCAAAAATATAAGGGAATAGAGATGAATATTGATGTTTTTAAATTCGTTTCACAGTGATGTCTTGAAAGAGACTATTTCCTTTTGGAGAGACTAAGTATCTTTAATCTGGATCTGCCCCCCAACTATGATCTAAAAGTAACCTTATATAGATATTCTAGGGTTCTTCTGGAGAATTTAACCATGCGTTTTGTGTAATCCCTAAGATGGCTGGTTTTCTCTTGAATTGTTAACAGATAATTGGTATAGTATTAAGCATACATTTTTCTTCATTGTTGAATATATGTGAAAAGTGAGTGCTTATATATAACTGGGCTAGCAAATATATGATTCACTCTTTAGGAAACAAATTTCTACATGAGTATGTGGGAAAAACCCAAACTACAAGATTTTATTGTGTAGAGTAAATGACTTCAAAACCAACCAACCAATCTAGTATTTGGAAATCATGTAGAAAATTGGCTACATTAAAAAGATGGTAATATTACTGAATGAAAACTGAAAGTGTAAATTACCTTGTTTGAATTTAAAAGGTATATATGAGTTTTAAAACAGTTTCTCCTGTAAAGGATTCCTGCTCTAAAAAATCAGTTGAGTATTTTTAATCTGTTCCAGTGTAATCCTGTGATTCTTAATGGAAATATAAAATGTTCATATGTTTTTTGAATTGTCAAAATTGTCAATTTCTCATTATAATTTTCCAAATTATTGAGTAGGTAAATGGAATTAACTTGAACTGTTTTCTCTGTTGGGCTTTCCATGTATTTTTTCTTGTTATTATTTTGGTGTTGTTTTTCTGTTTTTGGATACACGCTCTGTTTTTCCGTTTTTACTTTTTGTATTCACCTTTGTAGAGCACATCATAGTTTTGTAACTTGTAAACTTTTGTTCCAGAAAGAAGCACTTGAATACTGACCTTCAAAAACTCTTACTTTATCTAAATTACAGTGGATATACACTAAAATAGGACCTGTTTTATTATTTAGTTCAAAAAATTTTCATGTTTTTCCATGACAGTGGCTGAATTTAACAGTAAAATTTACCTCTTTTGACAAAGAGGCATTTTTAAAGATGGCTAAATTATATCTTTTCTCTGATTCTTTTATAGGTGATACAGAAGAGGGGGACGAATATGATGACCCTTTTGCTGGGCCTCCAGACACTATTTCATTAGCCTCAGAAAGATATGATAAAGATGATGAGGCCCTCTCTGATGGTATGTGACATTTTCCCATTAGAATATACCATTTGACAGTGGAACACGAAACGATGCAGTGTGTAGAGATGGTGGTCTTGTCAGAAAGCAGATACATGTGGAGGCTTCAGTTAACTTACCTTTATCAGAACCTTTTAAGGAACAGAAGAGCTCTCCCTAGTGGTTTTCCTAAGTATGTAGTTCCTTCTTTTCCGAGGAAATTTTCTTTACTAGAATTTTTAGGAGAGTGCTGGGATCATCCTATGAATACTATTAGTAAGTTTGTTAGTTAATTTAATATTATCAGATTCTTGCTTAATTTTATTGTACTGCTTAATGACTTGTATTATTTATTTTATAAATAATGAAAAAGACATATTCCTGAAAATTTTATATAAAATGAGTTTATAAAATATTAATCATTCTTATATTGCCTTCTCACATTGAGACAAGTTTTCATCAAACGCTTTTTTAATACACATTTTCATTTTTCTGATTGTCACCTAAAAGTGCCCCACATTATGAAGTAATATTATAGTGTTTTGTATTAATTGAATTAGTAATGAAGTTAATTGTTTATTTCTTAGTAATTTTTAAAAACTTGCCAAAGTTCTTAAACTTGTTTTTAGTGTAGCATGTGCTTTCTCTGTTATAGCCAGTTGAGCACATCTACATTACAGAGACCTTATAAAGGTGCTGTATAGTTATAAATTAAGAACGTGTATCAATAAATTAGCCATGGATATTAATTTGTGGTACTCAGAGTTTCACATAGACACAGAAATAAATAATGCCTTCTGCCACTATATGGTGATCAAACTGTGTAGTTCCATCTCTAAATACAATTGCTGAATGAAAATATGCTTCCTGCAACAGAGCATTCCACATTTTATGTTATCTAGATTATTCCCTTTGGAAACATAAATTGCTTTTATGAGGTATGAAATTATGTCTATTGCAGAACAGGGATAATTCAAGTACATGTATAAGTGATAAACATTCTAACCACTGATTCAGAACAACACAATTTTTTTTTATATTCTGAACTTTGTACAATGTGTAGCAATAATAATAATATCCATTTTATGTTGAATTTTGGCAAATAGTTAATTTCTAAAGGAATGGATTTCTTTCTCCCATATTCCCTATATATTTTTTAAACAGATGCACATTTCTCTTCAGTCACACATATTATCTGAGACAGCATTACCCTTTCTAACCTGACCTTCAAAAGCATTTCTACTAGAAAATGTTTTATAATTGATGAAATAATATTTTCAGGCAAAACAATGAATTATTATTTTAGTTGAACTATTTTTCAGACACATTACAGTCATTTGTTTTATTTCTCTGTAAAATGTTGGTAGAGAGAAATGAGTGTGTGTATATGTGTATATATATATATATATATATATATATATATATATATATATATATATACAAAGACAGAAAATACTCAAGAAAATATATATATACACATATAGAAATACATACAGAATATATTCATAGAATATATAGAGTTTCTGAAAATGGTAGAAATATGTGATATACAATGGAGCATTATGTGTACTCTTAAAAGAATTGCAATCTAAGAAATCTACCAATTAAATATTTGAGAACCAGTAGTTTGTTAGAGAAAGTGAACTGTTATTAAATTATTGTGCATTTACATGATTATTGTTTTCTTTCTTTTGAGTAAATATTATGTTTGCTTTTATAACCAAATATAAAGGAAATGCATTAATAGCATGAAAAATTTTATTGTTAAAAGGTTATTTTATCAATGTTTGAGTATTTAATAAATTACTTTTATGCATAACATTGAATTTTTTGTTAAATATTGGCACATTTCTATTAGGTTTATGTGAGCAATTCTTAAGCAGATTGAAAATTCAACTTTTAGTATTATTCTTTTTTTTGTATATAAATAATGTCATTTTTGATAGTTTTATATTTTCTTCTAAGAATATTATAAATTCATTTTAAAACTTGAACTTTTAATTTCCATTCTAAAATATCACCTAGTCATATCAGTTTCTCTCCCTGAAACTTAGAACTTGTATATGTTCTCTTTCCCTTGCTGAATACATTTTCCTTTATTATGGAACCTCAGTCTAATAATATATTAATTATAAAGTGATAATGCATTTAACAATAAGTAAACTAAATTAGCACAGGTCACCAAAAGGCCTTTTGTCAAATCAGATTGTTGTTTTGTCCTTTTCACTTTTACCTTACGGTAGGCACTAAGTATCTGAACTTGAATTATAAACGATAAACATGATACGTATTTTTCCTGATGCTAATGTAATTTTCAAGGTACTGAAAAGGTCAAACTTGCATATCTTTGTGTGCATTCTAAGTCTGTCTTTTCCTTTAGTATTTCTTTTTCTCTGTTCTTCTGGTTCAAAAGTTCACTCAGTTCCCAAATGGCTACCTAATTTTCCAGTTATTCCCTCAAGCCATATGTGTTTTGGTTTCTTTATGGTTTATTACGTACTGTAGGAAAGTAGCATAAGTTATATCTTCTAATGAAATGCAAACACACTTCAGTGATGCTTTGACTTGATTGCTGGTAGCAATTAAATCACAGCCAAGGAGAATAATGCATAATCTCACAAGGTCCAGACACCCTATAGAAATAGAAAGGGCATGAAAACAGAAACAAAAACAAAGTCTCCAAGCCCTGCCAGACACACTGTTTCCAGCCTGCCTTTTTTTTTTTATTGGCCAACTGCCTGATTGATAGCAAAATCATAACTTGCTGCACGCTAGCAGGCAGAGTTCACTTGTAGGTTATTGTGAGCTGATAAAGGGTTAGATGGAGTTTTGATTTTTGCATTGGACCTTGGTACACGAGATTAATGGAATTTCAATGAGAGACTAGAGTACCCACAGCTTTGTCAGAGAAACAGATGGAGATTCTATAGTCATGTCTACTCATTAATACTACTTGCCTGAAAGGTGTGTGGCTTCTTTATACGAAAGAATTGATATAATTGATTTTTGAGTGGTGCATTGAAGAAAAGTATCTTATTGATGACTAGAACTGTAACATAGATAGTGATAGATTTTTGTATAGATTGTAGCATAAAAATGTTGCACTTTGTAATTTTTTCTTCTCTCTCTTTGGAAACACTTTTTATTTTTGTTTTTTGAGGGAAATACATTTTAAGACCAACAGCAGAAAAGGAGAAAATAACACACTAAGTTACCTTTTAATTGAAAGTCTGTATTTTATTTATATATGATTGTATTTTATTTATATATCACTGTATTATATTTTATTTATATATGATTGTATTTTATTTATATATCACTGTATTATATTTTATTTATATATGATTGTATGGATAGTTTCATTTTGATAGGGTTATGTTAATTTAAAAATCATACTTATTGGAAATTTCATTTTATTAGCTTTGTATTTTATTTTTTCTGGAAAATTTAAAACAAATCATAATGTTTTCTAGACTATAAGAGATATGTGTTAGAAATTTTGTGCTATTATGTGGCTGGATATTTTGAAGTACTAATATAAATGATGCATGTCAGTAGTCAGATAAAATCACCGATAAGGAAACTTAAAACCTGAAAGAATATCCCTTATTGTACATGTTACAAAGTTTGTTTTGGCACTAAGTGGTAGGTTCAGGGTAGTTTTTAGACACTAAATAATGACTTGGGTTTCCATCTTTCTATTCTGAAATAATTTTTCATTCATTTTCATTATTTGTGAAAGAAAACTTCTAACCATATAGTACTGTGGAAAGTCCCTGAGGTAAGGTGAAAGGATTCAGTGAGCCAGAAGATATATATCGGCTCTGCCCATTGATGATAGGTAGAAGGATCCCAGAAGACATTTGTTACAAATCTGATTCAGTCCTAGACCATAATCACTTTGTGGATAAGAATCTGGAACCTCTAGGGTGTAAATATAGGAAGGCTAAAATGAAGCTAAAGATACAAAATGGTCATTTATTATCCTGGTATCTTCTTACTAAGAATTCCCAAGTAACATAGCTTCCTGAAAACTGTGGGCATTGCAGAGACATAGTTTTATATGAAAAAATATTGGTTTAGGAATGGAACTGTTTTTTAAAGCTTAGGGATTAAGAAAAAAATGAGGAGGTTTTGATCATAATTTATAGTAGTAAGTAATGATTCTATTTGAGTATACTTTTCTTTTAGAAAATCCAGTGTATGAAAATTTGGATTTATAAAACATATAAATCACTTATTCCAAAGGATTGCTTTAAAAAAGATTACTTCTAGGATGCTTGTTAATATTGGATTCTCACAATGTATCCAAAACAAACTTAGATATAAGCCTACCCATGTACACACACATACATTTAATGTGTAAACACATTATACATCAAACTTTTGAGGTAGTTTTTTTTGTATAAAATTAGGTGTAGCACTGATCAGTTCTTGTAAAACAAAGCAATGGATGCTTTACTTTTCTCTGGTTCTGGTGGAATATGAAATAGTGTTTAAACCAAGGGAAAAGAAAGTTCTTTCAGTAACTTACCACTTAGTGTAAATTCTTCTCTGTCATATTATCATGTGGTTTTTGATACTGAAAATAATATTTTTTGTATTTATTATAATTTAGATTAGTTTGCAACTTGTACTTATCTTTGTGTATGTAGCATATATTATTGTTGCACTTTTTTCTTTTTTTTAACTTTCTTGGGTTATTTCAATATGTCAATTGCTAGCTGGTGTGTGTTATAGCAGTGTAAGAACAGTGATTATATCAGCCCTTTTGTAAAGTGTGTAGCATAGCTTCAAAGCTTCACTTTGGTAAAAGTGAGGAGTTACAGTTTGGGCAAATGATAAAAAGGAGTAAACATACTTTTTATCCCTCAAGATATATATTGTGTGATTGGAGATACAGAGATCATGGATGTGAAGTATTTTTATGATACAAAGGTGTATATGAATACATACATAAAAAGCAGCCATTCAGAGTCATCTTTCTGAGTTTTGTGCCATTGAATGGGAAAATACATCAG